CAAATCAACTCATTCGGCTCAAACATCAATCAGTCTTTCAAAGCCTAACACGCACATCAATCACACCCACATGCATCATATCTCCCTATCTTCCATTTGCGACAAGCCAGCATTCTCTTTAAATTAAATCCACAATATTCATTGGCATTTCACAGATCTACATACTGTAATATTGCTCAATGTCCCAAAGAATCGTGATATTGTTGTTTTTGACAAAATTAATTGGAACACCGATAACAACACCCCAAAAAAGCTAGTTTCAGCCAATAAAAACAAAACCCAACATATTTCCTTTCAAAAAACAAGGTTACAATTGCAAATTTTGACAAAAAGCAATGCATAACAAGTCTTACGCAACTTCAAGTGCAGATAAACGTCATACGCCATCAAAGAGAGTAACACTTGACATAAGCAGAGAAATATGTGATTGCACAAGACAATGCAGGCCTTGCATTTAATCTTTATGGACCTAAGGTACCACAGCCAGAAGCAGACAACTAAATTACACATCAATCGAGGTCAAATAACATCAATAAGTTCCCTCCATTAATTGTAACGGACATATTTCAAGAGATCGACTCTTCGTTTGCACCTCATTGCACTCCATTGATTATAACCAAAAATTCTTTAATTTCATAAAACAGAAACAGAAGAATATAAGCCAGGACATTAATAATGAAACATAAATAAACAAAGAAATTATTTGAACAAATAATCCATTCCAATAATCCAAAACACTCGTCCATCCTAACTGTTCAATCGTGAACGAGCTAAATAATCTCCATTTACAAATCCATTTTCCATATTTCTCCATAGTTTTTCCAATGTTCTAATTATAGCACGAAATCAAGAATCTATTTTGCAAGAGGAAAAGGCAAACTGACATGTCAAACACACCTGTTAACCTAGAATATTAATAGAGGGGTTTACACCGAAGCAGCATAATAAAGTGGCATGTCCAGATTTCGGTAGGAGAATGACAGATAGATTTAACTCTTTAAGATGTAAAAACAATAACCAAGTTGCATGAGTAATAAAGAAAAATGCAAAGCAAATTCTCGACCAAATATAAAATTACATGATAAAGCACATACCTTGCTTCTGAAACGACATGAACGACCAATTCTATGAATGTACAGTTCTCGATTATTGGGAAGATTGTAGTTTATCACCAGTGAAACCTGAAAAAGAAGAGGTAAGTTGATATAAATAAGTCAAAAAGGACAACTAACTACTGCTTTTTATAGTCAAATAAGTAAAATGAAGTAACTAATTCTGCCTTCCTGGTCAACCCTTAAAGAATAACAAGTCAAGCATTACAGGGAAAACAAACCGCAAATAAATTCCAGGTACTCTAATTGAAAGACATAACGGTAGCATCTGTCCACTAAACAAGAAGCTAAGAGATCAGTGCTGTGCTACCGTGAAGAATTACTGGACATCGGACCAACATTCATAAACTGCCACTCCTTTGTAATTCCTAATGGCAGGTTAAATTCAAGGCTCATCTGACGTATATATATGTAAACTTTTGACAACTGGTTATTTTTTATTTCCACTTCACAGCTGTATATATATGTAAACTTCTTCAGCATTTATTTTTAGAGAAAAAAATATCAGAAAGTTTTTTCCTCTCAATCAAGTCTATTTGCTTTTTGAAACTGCCTATGGTATCAGCGTTCTTACGATCTGAAATCAGAAATAGATTTCTTGTTTTAGACTGATAGATCTGTGAGAGACAGAAATATGGAAGAGACTAGCAGGAACGTCGAGAGTTCAGCTGGAAATCGACGGGGTGCACGATCTTCTAATGCTGATAACTGTTGAAGATTGAGTTTTCCAAGGAACAAAGAGTTGATTTTATTTTCTTTGGACTTTATGTTTACTGTTTCCTTATGATATTGACAGCTTTTGATATTGACTGTTAAATAGAAATGGAGTTCTATGTTTTTATTCAGCTCTATATTTTTCTACTTAAATTATGATATGTATCAGAGTTGGTAAGATTATTTGTAGCCTGTAAATTTTTCCTTCCATTTTGTATATATATATGTATGGAAAATGTATGTCAAAAAAACACTTTCCCTGCATTAGAAAACTCCTATTTTTTCTGCAATTTTTCCTCTTTACTTTCTTTTATATTCTTCCATTTTTCAAGAATTTAATTAACTAATTTTTTTAATAGTGGTATCAGACCTGCTGTTCTTGTGGGCTGT